TTGAACACGACGCGATTTCGCGAACGCGGGAGATGCCGAATGGCGGACACTGACGCACGTGTACGGCAGCGGGATGAGCCACGAAAGGCGTTGAACACGACGCGATTTCGCGAACGCGGGAGATGCCTAATGGCGGATATCGATCACTGGCACGTGCTCACGCAAACCGCAACTGAGTGGCGGACATCGATCACCAGCACGTGCTCACGCGAACCGCAACTGAGTGGCGAAGTCTCTCTCTAAGAGTCCCCGTGTTCCAGGATAAGGGAGCCTAATTTCTTCTCGGATAAAGGGGATGGAATCTGATCCCACTTCTGAGATTTTTATGTTCTGTAAGGATTGTCACGACGGATGGAACGGGGAAACTTCAATTAATTGAATCAAGGGGACCTTCGGGAACGTAGTATCGAGACGGGGATTCAGAGAGAGACTCCTTTCACTTCACCACTCTTTATTTCACACGCGGTCTCCACGAGACCTCTCGGTTCGCCGGTACAATAACGAATGAATTAATTATCACGAACGACTCTTCTTCCGGTCACGCCGGCTACTACCACGAGCGCCGCCACCTCTCGGCCAAACCGGCGCCGTGTACAAGTTACTAGCCCTAGGCGCTCGCGCCGCAGCGCTAGTACTATTCTCTACCAATCTCTCGCGAACACAACGATGCGCGCGCAGCCCGCGAGGGAATCGCCGCAATGAAATTACCCAAAAAGATACGCATGGAACGGTAGTTACATGACAAGAATACCATAACGCAAACGGTAGTACAAAGTAAACAACAATATTATTATAAACTCAAATAAACAAGAATATTATAAACGCAGATAAACAAGAATATTATAATTATAATTTCCCTTATATAGTAATCGAGCAATCCAGATGCTCCGCAGTTTGGACTTAATATCACAGTTAAGCGTTCTGCTCCCTTCCGGAGGCTATTACAATTGCTGCTTGGTCAGATACTACCGGTTTAATCCATGGTTTAATTCTATCAGGCGACAACACTGAGTTATACGGCCTGGAGGTGATGTTGAAACCGGGAATATCCGTGATCACATATCGATTCTTATTCAAAACCTTACTGACCATATATGGTCCTCTATACGCTGGCTTAAATTTTTTATCTTCGCCCGGCTTCGGGACGGTATCACGAATTAAAACGTAATCTCCCATCTTGTACTTGGTTGGAGTTTTATGTCTCCTATCGTAATAGATTTTATTATATTCTTTTATCTTATCTGTAGTCTCTATTGCTAGTTGTCGACTAGTTTCACGATCACTTTCGTAGTGTAGATCAGTCTTTGAAATATCAGTCAAAAAGGCAGTAAGCTTTGTGTCAGCATGATTGCGCTGATCATATCCGAGCAAAAGTTTAGACGGAGTATTCTTAATTGATGAATGATACGTATTATTAATAACGTATTGGATAACGACCAAGTGATTCGGCCATTCGTTTACTGTTTCGACTACCTTTTTGAATGAAGATTTTATAAATCTGTTAACACGTTCAATAAGACCATTAGCCCATGGGGCCGCTACCGCTACCTGACGGTGATTTATCTCGCGTGATTGAAGGAATTCCGCAAACTCAGCCGATGTGAAAGCTGTTCCACGATCGGATACAATCCCGTCCGGATTTCCAAACGTATCAAACAGAGGCGTTAAGTGTTTAATCACTTCTCGTGAGGAAGTGGTTTTTACTGCAAATAGCCAGGTGAAGCGGGTGAAAGCATCCACCAAAGCTAGAACGTGCTTCGAACCGTTAGGCGATTCAGGAAGCGGACCTAAATGGTCTATATGCATAATACTAAACGGAACTGTCGGAGTCGGGGTTATTTGCATCGATCCTTCATTCACGTTTGTTGAACAATTTGCGATTAAGCACACTAGGCAATTGTCAACATAGTTTCTAATTTTCTTACGCATCGACGCGAACCAGTAGCTCGCACTTATTCCCTGCAACGTTTTCTCGCAACCACAATGCGCGGAATCATCATGGTAAATGTGTAATAACTTGTGAATCATACCTTCGGGCACAACAAATTTCGGATGGTCTGGGTCTTTTTTATATATGAGACCTTCTATTAATTGGAATTTGTCATGATCTGCTTTCTCCAAGCTCTGTGCTATCGCACGTAGTTGGGGGTCTGCCAACTGTCGAAATTGTAACTCATTTTCTAAAGCCTTGGAGTCCACAGATGCTACACAAATACGACTCAATGCGTCGACATGTAACATTTTTTGACCACTTCGGTGTTCTACATCGAAGGTATAATTCTGGAGACGCAAAATCCATCGATTGACTCTAGGATTGATACTCGCTTTCTTTAGAGCGAAGGCCAAAGCATTGCAGTCTGTGACTACTTTAAACTGAATGCCGTATAGATATATATGGAACCTTTCTATTGCTTTGAGAACCGCTAGCATCTCCAACTCGAACGAATGGTAACGACTCTCAGCATTGTTTGTGGCTTGGCTATAATACGCTATCGGGGCGATAACCCCGTCATCCTGCTTCTGCATTAGTATCGCGCCTAATGCAGTCGAGCTTGCATCTGTGTGCAGCTCAGTTACCCGAGAAGGCTGATAAAGCCTTAAAACAGGATAAGAAGTGAGTACGGATTTCAACCAATCAAATGCCTTTTTACAGTCATCATCAAATACAAAAGCTGCATCCTTTCGAAGCAAATTCGTCAATGGTTTGGCCTTCAGCGCGTAGTCCTTTATGAATCTACGGAAGTAATTAAAGAACCCTAACGCTCGTTGCAGCTCTATTACGGAAGTAGGATACGGATATCTTTTAACTGCTTCGATGTGACGCTCACTTAGAGTTATACCCTGCGCGGAAACCACATAACCTAAATATTCGACAGCATTTCTTAGGAATTCACATTTATTGTAATTGACCGAAAAATCATATTGCTTGAGCAACAACAGAGTCCTTCTCAATGTATCCAAGTTTTCTTCTACTGATTCGGATGCAATAAGTATGTCATCCATATATACCACGACCCTATCCTCTCGTATAAGAGGTTGTAGAATAAAGTTCAATCTTTTTTGAAACTCTGCCGGAGCCTTGCAATACCCAAAAGGAAGTCGAACGTATTCGTACTGTCCGTCCGGGGTAGCGAAAGCGAAATACTTTGTATGGTCCGGATGGATGCCTATTAAATGGAAACCATCCTTCAGATCAATCAATGTGAACACCCGTTTATTTCCAAGTCGAGCTAGACAGTCTTCGATCAGTGGAAAAGTGAAATGCTGTTTTACGACGCGATCGTTAAGTGGTCGCAAGTCTACGCAAAGTCTAAGCGAACCACTTTTCTTTCTTACTGGCACTACGCGGGCG